CCCCAAAACCCCAAAACCCCATATGCAGAAATTTTTGACTAAATGGATTTATCAATTTCTTATAATGCATGTTTCAAAAATAATAGAAATAATAGGCAGAAATATCATTGATTTAATGGCTGAATCAGATATTCTAAAGATATTTTGGCTAGCTTTAAATCCTTAAATCAAAAGCCCTTTTATCCGAGTTTGATAATGGTTTGATATTTGGAATACATATATCGTGTTACTCAGTAGCACAACTATCTTTTTAAATTATTTTCTTTTATCCTCGATGAGATTTATATTCAGAATCAAACTCATCTTGATCGATATTGTTTTCGGAATCCTTGTATTAATTTCTAATTTCTTTTTATTCACTTTAAGAGTTATTTTTTCTGCGAATTTTCTTGCTTTTCTTAGTTCTTTTTATATCTATGGCATTACTATTAAAAACTTCCTGAAGTTGCTATTATTCTTATTTGGTTAGCTCGATCGACTTTATTAATCTTTTATCAAATACATTTTAGCGAGTTGACATCAAAGCTTGTTTTAAGAAATCAGCCAACTTATCATCTTTAACATTTTTACGGCTATTGTCTTGAGAACTAACAACCTCATTTAATAAATTCCCTTTGAAATAGGGTATCATTATTCTTTAATATTTTGTTAGTAGCACTTTCTAGATAAACTTAACAGTTCTCAATTCTTTTACAATATGTCTGATATCAAGTTCTTTACTGATCTTCATTGTGCCATTTCTAAAAAGAATCTCTCTAGCTTACTGCAATCTATCGTATGTTTTAATGCAACCTCTCTTGTGGAGGCAAGCATAAATAGCATCTCTGATGGAATATTTAAGTTTAAGCCTGTTTTTAAACTAGGCTAGTATTTTCTATACTCTACTATCATATATTTTATTTTCTTTATCAGATGTTAATAGTTGTGTATTCTAAGGAGAGTCTTCTTTGACATTGTCAACTTAATTTAAATTTTTATCATAGATAGAATTTTTATTCTGTCTTGAGTTCAGTTAGTTGTCAATAATTTTGTGTTCACTCTAGTATTGATAGAGACTTTTTACCAATGATGTAAAGTAGATAGTTTTCTGAAGATAGCTTATAAGATTGAGAGTAATAACAAATAGAACACTCATAAACCCACCA